CCAGGTAGGTGGCCTCAATGGCCACCATGAGCAGCAGCTTGCCGATGCTGCTGATGTGCAGGAAGACGGAGCAGGCCAGCAGGCTCAGCACCACGCTGTAGTTGAAGTACTGCGGGAGAGACGCCATGGGCATGCGCCGGCACCCCGGGGGGACGGCCTGCCCGCACCCCACCCCCACGGGGGCCTTGCACCCACCGGGACACCCTGCCAGCACTCTGCACCCTCAGGGGCTGTGTGCCAGCACCCGTGGAGGAACCTTGCACCCATAGGGACCTATGCCAGCACCCTTGGGGACCCTGCACCTGCAGGGACCCCACACCAGCACCCTGCATCCTTGAGGACCCCATGCCAGAACCCTGGGGGATGCTGTGCCTGCAGGGACCCCCATAGTGGCACCCTGTACCCTCAGGGACCCAGTGCCAGCATCCTTGGGGACTGTGCCTGCAGGGACCCTCTGCCAGTACCCCGCACCCTCAGGGACCCTGCGCCAGTGCCCATGCAGGACCTCGCAGCCACAGGGACTTATGCCAGCACCCTGTACCCTTGGGGACCCCGCACCAGCACCCCTGGGGACCCTGCACCTGCAGGGAACCCACACCAGCACCTTGCATCCGTGATCACCCCATGCCAGCACCCTGGGGCACACAGCACCCATGGGGACCCCCTGCCAGCATCTGGCATCCTCAGGGATCCCGCACCAGCACCCAAGGAGGACCTTGCACCTGCAGGGACTCATGCTGGTACCCATGCAGGACCCCATCCCAGCGTCCTGCACCCGTAGGAGCCCTGTACCCATGACCGCCCCCGGGCCACTCACCCCCGGTGAAGACCCCGATGATGGTGCTGTGGGTGCGGGACTGGACTATCTTCTGGGAGAGCTGCTGCAGGGCAGCGGGGAAGAGCTGCGGGGGGAGAGGGACCCCGTCACACGTGAGCAAGCCCCCCGCCTCACCCACCCGTCAGCCCCGTACTCACAGTGACGCAGGAGTAGACAGCACAGACGAAGAGGATGGCAGCGAGGAGGATGAAGATGCCGACATAGACGCCGAGCATCAGCGGGGAGCTGGGGAGAGAGGCAGCCGTGAGCACCAGGAGGCTGGGGAGCAGGGTTTGGGGGTTTGGGGGGTGGTTTGTGGTGTTCCCCCAGCACTCACTGGGGGAACACCACAATCTGGAGGCAGCAGATGAAGCAGAAGACGAGGAGGGTGCAGGCCACATAGCCACCGAAGCGGTCGTCCACCTTCTTGGAGTACTGCAGGGAGGAGAGGGGTGAGCTGGGCTGGGCGGAGGGGGACAGAAGGGACCCCAGGGGGATGGAGGGGGATGGAGAGGACCCCGGGGGAATGGAGGGGACCCCGGGGGGAAGAGATGGAGAGGACGGAAGGGACCATGGAGCCAGCAGGATGGAGGGGACCCCACAGATTAGAGGGGACAGAGGTGACCCACGGCTGGGATGGAAAGGGTGGAAGTGGCTGCAGGGGCTGGGATGGAGGGGACCCAAGGGATGGAGAGGATGGATTGCAGGGGGAGAGAGAGGACCCCAGGGTCAGCAAAGATGCTGATGCGGCCAGGACAGAGGGGACTTCAGGGGGTGGGGGGGGCTGCAGGGATGGAGAGGATGGATTGCAGGGGGAGAGAGAGGACCCCAGGGTCAGCAAAGATGCTGATGCGGCCAGGACAGAGGGGACTTCAGGGGATGGGGGGGACTGCAGGGCTGGGGTGGAGGGACCCCCACCTTCTTCTCCAGGTCGGACGTCTGGAAGGTGAGCAGGAACTTCTTGACGTGGTCCTTGCGGAGCTGGTCGATGCTGCGGGCGTCAATGGCCCGGCTCAGGAACTCATCCACCTCATCCTCGGGGTTGAGGGCCTCCTGGGCGCCACGGCTGGGGAGCAGGGCTGGGTCAGAAACCCCCCCAGACCCCTGGCTCTGCCCCAGGGAGGGGCTGGCTGCGACCCCCCAGGCACCCCAGCATGGGGACACTTACTTGTCCTTGCTGGAGTCATCGATGCCCTGGGGAGACACAAGGCAGAAGGGGGGTGTCAGACACCAGCATGGATGGGGGGGACCCTCATAGATGACAAGCACACGGGACATCGCCCAGGGTCACCAAGGCCACCAAGGATGCAGGACAGAGTCCCAAGGGTAACTGGGATGGGGCGGGATCCCCAAGGGTTCCCCAAGCCTGGCAAGGATGGGGGGGGGTTGCAAGAGGAGGGTGGAGGGGGGGGTCTGATACCAGTGAGGACAGGGGACCCCCGAGGGGCCCAAAGGCCAGTGAGGACAGGGGGGAACCCCAAGAACCGGTGAGAACAGGGGGGACATGTGGGGATTGCCACAGGCTGGTGATGATAGGGGAGATCTCTGAGGGCTGGGACAGGGGGGGACGGGGACATCTGGGGGGTCCCCATGGGCTGGTGATGGTAGAGGGGATCGCCAGCGGGCTGCCAAGGACGGGGGAGACCCAGGGGTTCCCCGAGGCCGTGGGCTGCAGCAGGCAGGAGGAAGCAGGCGAGGGCTGCGGGCAGGGCTGGGGAAGCTCAACAGTGGCTGCGGAAAGGGGGCGAGCCGCCGATAACGCCCCCGGGG